GTGGGGGGGGGGGGGGGGGGGGGGTTGATCACGAAGGATGATTATCTAGGACTCTCCCTAGACTGTCAATACCTGATTGTATACACTTTCGCAAACCAGAAGATAGGACTTGGAAATCTATCGCAGAGTAATATCTGTTTAGACATATTAAATGACTACGACTGTATACTACAGGAGTCCAAGACAACAGAAAACAAAAGGAGCACATCTTGTGGCCCCTTTACCCCCGTCTTCGGGTCGTTGGGCTCTTCCCCTTTGATGTCCCGGTAGTTTTGGCAGAAGATGTCGTCGCCACCGGAGTCTTCTCCTTTTGCTTCCCCTTTGCCTTCGCCGTGGGCGCGTTCCAGTAGTACACCATCTGCAAGGCCAAAATCGCATTCAGCACGAAGCCGGAGATAAAGCCGTAGAGGATCAGCTTGTCGTCCACCTCCTGCAACGTTGTGAAGATTCGGGAGAGCGAGCCAACAAGGTAGTTGAAGACCTGTGTATTGATCCAGTCAGTTGCAATCCAATGGAAAATGCGCAGATTCAGGAAACTTACGGCAAAAGCACTCAACTGTCCCGTTCCACCTTCCTGCCAGATGGCCACGATCTGTGGCAGCTTACTGGCAACCCCCAGAACACCGGCACCAGCCTGCAGATAGCTCAGAGTCTTGAGATCCACGATACTGTCTGAAAACAGCGAGGCAGCACCGGCTGCCAATCCCGCCACGAACAGCGCGGCGGTGCTGGCGCGCCCACTGTAATTCAGCACCAGCACGGCGATGACCACATTCTGCACCATGATCAAGCCCGTCTCCCCAAACGTGCTGAACGGGAATCCCTGGCGGACATTGTACGCGAGCGAGATGAGGTAGGCGGACGTCTCGAGCAGGTAGGAGAGGAAGGAGACGCCAGACGCGGATTTCGAATTGACCAGCTTCAGAATCTGCGGCACCTTGACGATGGACGACGCGGCGATGATGCCGATCCCGAGGCCCTTGGAGATGGCGAGCTTGATGCACTCGGTGGCTTCGAGGTCGAGGTCCAGCAGGAGCGTCTTGTAGCATTGCTCGCCGACCACTGAGACGCCGAGGTCGCGGATCGGGCCCGGCAGGTTGTGTGTTATGGGCTGGAGGGCTGAGCGGAGGGAGTCCATGGTGAGGTTCTTCGTCTGCGTTATTATCAGAGGGGTCTTGAGAGGGGTTTGTGAGCTGGATCGTTGATGCGACGCGGTGCTGCTGGAGGAAAAGTGGTAGAATGGGAAAGCTTTTTTGACAAGGCTCACAAAAGAACCGCGGTTGATCCAATGCTCTAGAAGTCTGCGAACTGGTAACAGAGAGAAGCTCCTATATATTTATTTACATAGAGGTTGTATCATACACAACATACAGATAACGGTGTTCTAAGGACTACTTCTACTCTCTGTCGAATGATTCTTTTGATGCCAGCTGTTTTCTTACTTTCCTGTACATGCTCGGGTGTCTGGTTATGATTATAAGCGTTCGTCTAAATCAACTTGGATAGTAACCTTATATCAACTTAAGCAAGAGCCTTTTCCGAGTACACCTATTAACAACCCACTCTTATGTTAATTCTTCTTCCCTTAATTCATCTGTTGGTTCTTTACAAGAGTAGCGCAACGCTGTAGTCCAGTGAGAATGAAGAGCCAGCCGCCCGAGTCGCCGAAATCACGACCCCTGTGTTGGACCAACTGTTGGTTGTGTTGTTTTCCTGGTAGTCAGGAATCAGCATAAGGTTTGCTTTCCAACACCATCTATCAATCCTTCGAGGCTATAGATGCCACCACGAGGCACGGCGTGATTTCCATGGCGTCGAATCCTCTTGGGACCGGGGGGTATTGAATATTAAAATTATAAACTCAAACGGTGCTTGAAGTTAGAACTTCTCGATCATGCCCTGCTGGAAACATCTGAGATCTCACGCATGGCAACGGTCCTGTACCGCTGCTACTGAAACACACTTTTAGCCTCATCATTGTGTGGAATTCAACTGTTATCTATTGCAACATTGGAGCGGCTTTGAGATAACGCAGAAACGCCTTCTTTCATCATTTCTTGCCACAAACGCCAGCATGGCCGTTGGTTTCCTCTCCTTGAGCGATGAGCTTATGGCATTGATATTTGAGCAGGTCAGTCCCTATTTCAATACTACCTTGTGTGCGAAACAAGCGTGTTCTGAACTGACAATCTTGTAGATTTGTCTCATGGACACAGAGGCCTTGCGAGATCTTTGCCTGGTGTCCAAACAGTTCTATCGACTTGCAAGTCCAGCATTGTATCGATCAGTCGTACTCACCGCCTCAAAGCTGGAAAATCTGGATGCCACGAACGTAGCTAGTTGCTGGAGCAATCTTCGAACCAAAGTGATCGTATTTACACGTGATATTGTGATACAAGAAGGGGACTTAGATTGGGCGCTTCTGGCTGAGCTTCTTTCAGAAATGAGGCAGCTCGATTCTATCCGGTAAATTCATCTCTGTGATCAACCAAATACAGTGTGATTTCAGAAACTATGCTTACTGAACCAGGTGGAGTTCCTGGGAGGAACCTATTCCAGAGTTGATCCTCGAGAGCCTAACGCAACATTGGCCTAGTACCATACTCCATGTCGAAGATCTTCCAATTGGTCACAAGACAGAGGACACTCAAGTGCAACGGCATGATCTCGAGATCCTGGACACACTTCTAGGCTGCCAGAATATACAATCCGTCAAGGCTAACATCAATTACGAACATCCTGCATCAACTAGGCGCCTCAAAGAAGTTCTGATGAGCTGTCCGAAATTAGAAGTCTTACACCTGCGCATCCCAAGAAAAGACGTGGGATTGAGATGGAGTTCTGATTGGCCTGGGCCACAGGACTTTGGCGTTGAACCAGGTGACAGGCTTGTCCCTCTACGAGAACTCGTTTACGAGTCCCGTCCATTGTATGGCCGGGATGGGCTCATCCCCAAAAGCTTCTGGGATTTTACACGACTTCGTCATCTAGAGATTCGAGGGATAGATATGATCAACTTTGTTAAATCAATACCAGGTCAAATCACATGTCTTGAGACTTTAAAGATAGAGAACTTTTGTTGTGCAGAGGAGTGGGAAGTTGGAGCTGAGGTATTAAACGACTTCATGTCGGAAATACACGGCCTGGTCAATCTCGAATTGATAAACCCGATATTCAACCGCTCAATCCACCGCTTCCTCTCTATCTTAACCCAGCAAAGCGAAACACTAGAGAGACTGACGTTCCGTAAGCCCAGGCGTTGCTGCGCCCCATATTCTGTTTTGGTAGGAAATCCATTTTCCGTCCAAAGTCTAGATATACTCGGGGCTTCTTGCTCAAAGTTATCCTCGCTTACTCTGGACATTATCATCACAGATGACTTGGTAAGATTCCCCATTCTCCTAAGCACCGCTAAAGTTTTCAGCTCTCATACTTACAGTACGACAGCCTTATGACTTTCTCTCCGCTGTGGGACGGTTTCGAAACCTCGATACCATCCGTCTATACGCCCGGTTCGACAACGAGGCTTTCGACGCCAAATACCGTCCGCTTCTCCAAGCCGATATTCTGACGGTCCGTCATCTCGCCTCCTACCTCTGCAGCCATAAAACCGGCACTGCCTTCAAAAAGATCGAGGTCATTCTGGGGGAGGCACCTAGGGTCCCCTACTACGTGCGTGAAGAAGAACGTCCTGATATTATATTCAGGTGCCGGATTGAAGAAAGCGGCGATGTCATCGTTGAAGACGATAGTCATGAAATCGATAACGTTAAGTGGGCGGAATATCTCGACCGCGAGAGACTTAGCAAGAAACGTGGCAGGACTTACCCCATCGATCTAGAAGAGCTGGAGAACTGGAATAGGGCTGGAGAGGAAGCGGATCAAATCTTCGCCGGTGTTGGGGTGATGGATGTGTATGAGGATATGGGAAGCCTTTTCGGCAGTTCCCAAGACTCGGAGCCTGAGGTTGAGGAATAGTGGGAAATCCCCGCTCGAATCAGAATCATGACGAGTGCTAGTGTGGAGTTTATTGAGAACCAGTGCCTTTTACGTATACTACTCTTGTCTTACTCACATTGAATTGAGGTCGTGGAGGCAAGTCTGTATTTAGCACTTACTTTTGAATTAGCGAGACTAGGTAGATATCAGTGCTATGAAGACATGATTAATCACCTTTGATCCAATGATGTCTGTGGGCGATAACTTGTTCAAAGCGCTGGACCCTACCAAATAAAGGGTCCAAAGGCTCGACTTTATAACTCTGCGGCTTTCTAAAGTAAATATCTGAACTGGTATGGCGCTAATAGACCCCGAATTTGAGCCGGAATAGCCGAATAGACCTGTAGGTGCGAAATTCGACGACACAAACCATCATCCTAAACATCCCAAAAGGTGTGAAGATATTGTCAACTACACCATGAAGTCATGGATGCTTGGTGAGCTCTAGTGGGCCTAACATGTGTATGAGTAGTTGCGCATGTCCTGACGGTCCTGGTCGACATCAGTAGTGTCATTGTGTCGGTGAAGACGGCTTTTTGTATCTGTATATCAGCCGCAGTTGCACAATATGTCACACAGTGATTCTGCAGACATGTATGAAAAACCATCGTATTGTTGATATCTCAAGCGCAGCTCTGTCCATTTGTCCTCCAGAATGCGTCTCCCACAAAGCAGCGCAGTACCTGCAAGAGCAGGATATTTCCCCATATCCCTATGTCATCAGAAAACGCCCCTATACTAGCAAACCAAAGTAGCTCAATTGTTCGATATGCAGCACGCAGTATCAAGGAGGATATCCAAGCCCAGGAATGCCAAAGCAGAACCATGCCGAGGAAGTCCATCCACCCATGCCAAAGCTAGACAATCGAGTCCCAATTTTATCATTCACGGTTTGTCGGGGTATTTTTCGTCGAATTCGGCGATCAACTCGGTGGAGTTACGAAGGTTGACCTCGGGCTCCCAGGTGTTTGAAGATGCGGGGTATCCGGCCCACTTGACGAGGTAGGAACGGGCACCCTTGTAGACCTTCGAGTCTATGATGGCCTCGGCTTCGTATTCAAGGCCATACGTGCCCAGCTCATCGTTAAAGACATTTTTGGGTGCGGGAGTTCCTTTGCCCTTCTTCTCCTTGCCCTTATTGCCCGACTTCTGTGGGACGAGACGCATATACGTTAATATGGAGATCGAGTAACGATTTGCATGATGAAAGTGGATGAAAGAGTAGGGAGGAGTCTGCTCACCTGCTTGCCTAACTTCGTGCCACCACCGGTAGAAGTCACCTTCTTCGCTACCTTGGCCTTACCAGCTTTCGTAGCCTTCTTTTGAATCTTCTTGGGGGGTCAATGGGGACTTCGAACAGACTGGTGTTAAGAGACTTACGCGTTTAGCTATTCCCTTTTTCTGAATGGCTTTTGAGGGGGGCTTGCTTGAGGAACGCAACACTCTACGCGGCGGGGAAGCGTTTCTCGCGAGGGCGCGAAGTCGAGCAGATTCCTTGACCATTGTTTGCTTTGATCGATGAAGTTGCTGATGGTGTTTATTGTAAGAGACAATGGATCTTACCAACTGGCCTTGGAGGGATTTTTTGATGTGGTAGGCCAGTCGACAAAGTTGAAGTTGTGTGAAGTTGAGTGGGCTAGCTGGCAAAAAAGTTGGAAGAATATAGGTTTGGGCCACGAGAATGAGGCAGAAAGCAGAGCAGTTCGATCATTTTCGTATACTCTTTTCGTAGGTCCTTTCGAATCTTCTTTCATACATATCACGGAAATACTATGTCTGTCCATGTGCTACGAAATCTAGACCAAAAGATACTAGCAATGTCCTTTTGCACACCATTTTCGTAGACCTCTCTCGAACTCCTTTCGTCAATCCCTATATGCGGAAACGAATATATACGGAAACGGATTTGCACAGAAACAAATATGGAAACGAATATATACAGGCACGAATTTACACAGAAACAAATATATGTGGAAATGACAGACACAGGAAAATCATACTCTTTTGTAGATCTCTTTCAGACTCCTTTTGTCAATATACACAGAAACAACATATATGCGGAAACGACATATATAGTCAAACTGTACACTCTTTTATAGACATCTTTCAAATCTCAATTTGTTAATAACACAGAAATACTATTTAGAGATAACAAGAGCTCAACAGGAAAAATACTAGTTATGTTCTTTCTCTCATTCTTCTTGTACACTATTCTAAGCTCGTTTTATTGATCTCAAGCTCTAGTTTATTGCCAGCCCTCTATTTTATTGAGTGGAACTTATACTTTGAATTTTGCTCAAGTTTGATGTTCCTAATAATTTCATGTTGTTTTTACATACATGTTGTTTTCACATACATGTTGTTTTCACATACATGCCGTTTTCACATACATGCTGTTTTCACATACATGCTGTTTTCACATATACACCCCTCTTCTCCTAGTACATAAACAAACACAATCACAATAACAATATTTCCTCCTCTGACCTTAATATTTCCGTAAAGTTTCCAGGAGTTGCTATCCTCTTGCTTAAGAATACTTGTTGTCTTGATGTTATATGTGATACAGAATTGAGTGTATCTTGTGATGGCTATGATGAGATATAAATATGTTTTTTGCTTAGGTAGGTAGGAAGGTTGGTGGCTTGGGACTAGACTGGTCTGTTTTTTTCTTGTGCAGGGGCTTGTATATGTAATATTGATAAACATAAGGGGTAGAAAGGCGAGAGGGTGCAAAGGTGTATTGCTGAACAAGCGAGAAGGTGAAGTAGTGAACAGACGAAAATTAAGCAGGTAAAGAAGATTAAGTAATAGACAAAGGGGGGAATAGGCAAAGGGGTAACAGCCTGTTATGTTCCTGAACCTTACCAAGACGTCTCAAAAGTTTAGACCGCCTTGTTTATTCTGCTGTTAATAATGGCATTGGCAAAGCTAACTCTCATAGGTGTTTAAATGTCACTAAAGAGTGTTGAGGAACTGTTCGAAATATACGTACAGTAAAAGGTATGCAGGTTCTTTGCTTCAGTGTATAATTTATCAGTATCATAGATTCATAGCTAACAGCCTAACACAGAGGCGATTTGCATTTCCTCAAAATCGACAATGGCTCAGAAGTATATATACCGCACCTTCAAGCTTTGAGTGGCATCTACATCCTGTCTGTAATTCTTGCTTGCAATCCTCATGCCTTGCCGAATATCTGAACTTGACTCTTTGATGAGAAAGATTTGCCATAGGCGTACCGCGGTCACAGAAGAGCTCTTCAGAGGAGAGCTTTAGTCTGTGTGACAATGACGAGAAAGCTTCGGTCATCCAGTCTTAGGGTAGGAGGGTCCTTCATGTTTTTGCGAGTTCTATTACAGAAGAGGAATATAGCTTCATCCGGACGAGGGACTTCGACTCCGATTATGTTTGGTTGCCCCCCTTCTGAGTACTTACAATGAAGATAGACAATGGAGAGAACCTAGCTTTTGGACCAAGTGATCTGTCGAGGGTGGGTGATTAGGATCCATTTGCAGAATCCGGAGCCATGCGGAAATTCCTAGATGAATACGTCAATACGTTAGGTATGAAGAGAAAGAACACGAACTTACCCGTGGACCAAGCATTCTTTTATCCGACCCGTAAGCACCCGGTGTATAACCTACGTAAGATAGCTATTAACTATAGTTACCTAGTATAAGCGGCGAACTTGAAGGCCTCGAAATCGTTGTCCACGAGACAAACCAGTTTCTAGTTCGAGGTTAACAACCCGAGTAGTATTTTCAAACTCTGAAAACAGAACTTCGTGGTTGAATGAACTTTTTTGAAAAGAATATTTATATCCTCAGTTATCGTCTCTTCCCCTACTCCGTATTTACCCCACAAAATTCCAGGGGCACGGAGGACGCGCCTCGTATTCTACGGGATAGTAGGACGCCGAGCCGCCGAGGCGTCGTGAAGAGCCCCGCATTTGGTGAGAAGTAAGCCTACGCCCCACGTGCCAGGCAGACCGTAAGTCTGACCATCATCTGACACGATAAAGGAGCAATTTTCTACTCCGGATGTCAGCAATCTGTCGTGTCTGCTTTTCTGAATGCTAACTTGACCGCCAACCTGGAAATTAATTGCTTGCATGTTTCTCGCAATCGAGGCCAAACGCCATGGTCCTCTAAAACGCGCGGTTGCGGACGACCGCGGACAAGCACTGCCTCACCGCCCTGTGAGCCAAACTTGAGTGCTGGGGGTTCGGAAGGAGAGGAATAATGACTTTTCAATCCCGTGGAAGCCAGGCAGAGGCGGTGGCTCTGAACCACGCGACTGTGGCACTCTTCATCACGAATACGGCGGCGGGGTTCTATATGATCATGCTTCAATACCTTCTCATGAGAATCCGATCCTCTGCATCCAAGGCTAAATCCCCAACTACTTCCGAGATCTATTGCTTTATTGCGGCGTTATGGATTTTGCACCGCATATTGGACCAAATGCTTTGTTCCATAGTCGATACCTGTGTCCACTTCCTGTCGACTGAAGAAGTGATGGTCCTATACTCGGACTTCCGTCAGAAAAGCTACAATTTGAAATATTGGGCAGTGGGCGCAAAAGAAAAAAGACCAGGATGGGATGGCACCGTCCTCCTCTTCTATGAGATCCTCGGAACATGGCTCATATCCCAAAGCCTAATCTTCCTCCTCGAGACTGCCGTTCCTCTTTTCTTAGATATTCGCCAAGATCATAATCGGGTTGCCCTGAGGTTCCAAACTCGCTGCTTGGAACTGGTAGATTTTGCACGGAGCTTTGACAAAAGCAGCACTGTGAAGCCTCTTATGGAAAAAGAAAAGCGGAGAGATGTCCGCCCTCAGACTGGCGCGAGCAATTTCCAAACCATCAACCTCGAGAGATTACAAACTCACAATCTTGTGGAAGATCAAAGAACCCTGACTTGGAATTTGACGGTGGATAAGAGTGCTCTTGATGAGATGAAAGAGATCCTTGGGCCTCCTGGGGGGTTTGGGGAACTGGGTTTTCATGTTGCATATGATAGAGTTTGTTTCGAGGCCATGAGCATCGGGACTAGATTCAACTTGACCTTTGGGTTGAAAGACAGCAGGCTTGGAAATTCCAAAGAAGCCAGGCATAGAAAATCGCGATAGAAGTATGGCTCGGGATACAATGCAAAGACTTAGATCAAACAAAGCAGTGAGCCACTCAGCCACTTTTTGATGCACAAGTGATCACTTTGAGCTCGACGGTGCTCAATCTTAACTAGTACCCATACTAAAGAAGACGGTTAACCACATTTCAAATCAAACAATAGACAGCAAAATGTAATGATAATGGGCTCGTCACTTGAAGGACCAGTCGCCCAATACCCCGCTCAAAAACCTGATAATGAAAGACATGCCACCATCATGGGAGACTGACCCCTTCGTGTTACATACTAATAGTCCAGAGCACAATCCAATAAATGATCATCTGTAAGATGCGGTAGAATAGAAATAGAAGATGAAGTTTTCTAACCAAAAGCCTAGACGTGAGAACCACGTCCTGGAGAAACATATCACGTGGCTACCCCGCGCTGTTAGAGGTGGGGTCCCAAGTAGCTATGGCACTAGTCAGTTTACGGCAAGTCAATCAACAGCTGCAAGGGCAGAACAGCGAATGAAGCTGGAACTTATGATTTCTACACTTTGCTGTATACTCTGCAGTTGAACTTTTCGCATTGTCCTATATTTCCAAGCGATCAGCGAAGTGGGGTAATTGGGAGGGAGAGTTGTGTACGGTTTACGCAATATAGATACCCCTATCCTCCGCTAAGCTCAGAGTTTGAAGTCCCAGCCCCGGGCATTCAGTTCATCGTTCACGACATCGCAAACTGATCAGGAGCCTCGACCGACACTCCATAATACCCATAATTTTCTCGACGTCTGGATCTGAGCAGTGAACCGCTTAGTCGAGGTCCGGTGCTCTTCGAATTCTCTTGCGACCATAGATAGAGGGATTGTACGAGACGGGATTTCGAGATGTCGCTCTCTGCCGGGGGGCTGACTGGCTCAGGTACGGCTGATATGTATCATGTATACGTTCCGGTCTAACCTTAGCTGCTAGCAAAGTTGGCGGATGTTACCAGGCTCATGAACAAACTTTCTTCGGATCTGCAACAGGCCAGCCTTTCATCCGATGGTAAGCACAGTCTACTCACCAAGCTCGCCCGGTCAAGTTTCTGATCCATGTATAGAACGAGATGCGTATCTTGAGCAGTTGAAAGTGTACGGTCGGGACCCCAACAATGCAGATCCAATTTTCACGAAAGAGGTAAATTGTGCACCCTGGTCCTCCATGTGCGAAGACTAATATGTTTCTGAAGGGTATAGAAACGCTGGCTCGGCATGCCTTCGATAGTACCTCTTTGACGACCTCCAAAAATGCGCTACGATGCCTTGCGAACGCGATGTTCCTGAAACCCGATACTAGACAAATATTCATTGATTTGGGATATGAGGCGAAGGCATGCGACAAGTTGAAGAACGACAATCGAGATGACGAGTTCCTGGCATCGAGAATCCTCCTCCTCTCGACTTACGCTCCGAATATCAATTTGGAGAGGCTGGTGGATCAGTACCATGTGGCCGAGAGAATATGCACCAATCTCAGCAGACACGCAAGGCAATATACCACAGAACAGAAGGGGATTAAGGAGGTTGATCCGATGGGGGATATGGCACTCAGCGAATCGCTCAAACTCGTATACAACCTCACACAACTCTGCCCACAACGACGTGCAGCCTTCTCACCAGCCTTACCCCACATCCTAATGCTTCTCGACAAACGAGATATCCCATATACCAAACCCCTAGATCCTCCGATTTCGCTCTTAATCAACTCACTCTTAAACCTCCCTCTTGAACACGAAGATAATGTTAATATTCTATTTCCAAAAGCAACCCCAAATCTCAACACCGACCGTCTTATAGAGATATTGGATAAGTCAACAAAAGTATACGCCGACGTTGACCTCGAAACTTTGGTCTCACCCCTTGTGGCCCTCATCCATAAAGTTTATGTAGTAGCCACCCAGGCCGCTCACGATGCTAAACAGAACATGGAAAAGGCGCTCCTCCCTAATACTGAAGATCGCAAACAGCCCCTCGGGCGCGGCGAGTCCCTCTCGGCTCGTCTCCTACGCCTATCTGCAGACCACACGGCACCGCAAGCCTCAAATGCAGTATCCACTCTCCTTTTCGAATTGTCCGGAAACGACGTTAGGACCTTTGTACACAATATAGGATATGGGTATGCTTCCGGCTTCCTCGTTCGGCACAAGATCCCAATGCCAGAAGACGTAACGGAGGCCCGGAGTGGCAGTGGCGACGAGTCGGCCAATATCAATCCCATCACCGGCCAAACCCTGGAATCAGAACCGACAGTTGAGATGCCGGCGATGACGGACGAAGAGAAGGAGCGAGAAGCGGAGAGATTGTTTGTTCTCTTTGAGAGGTATTCCCCTTCGTAACCCCCTTTCCTGGATCGATACTAATATTCCCAATCCAGGTTGAGGGCGACGGGTGTGATGGATGTGACGAACCCCGTGCAAGCAGCAGTCCAATCAGGCAGGTTCGAGGAGTTGGACGACGACGCGGAATCCGATTGATGTAATGTAATGCGGGATACGTTGGATACGCATGAGCAAGCTCATCCCCAGTTCCCAGTGCATAGAACATAGATGGGACACTAGAATTTTGGGTATCGCGCAGTAAGGAGAGACAAGGCAAGGCAAGATACCCATTTCCGAGCGAAGCGCGCATACATGATCTGGTGCTCCCTCCTCGAGAACCTCACCTTCGTCAGTGTATTATATAATTCTAATCTAATTCCCTATACAATGTCAACACGCATCTCCTGGACTTCAGCCTAACAGATGCAAAGGATGGTTATTTTTGCATTTCTTTCCCCTGAGCCCCTTTTACTGTGGCGGCGCTCGCCATGCTATATACTGAGCCGCTTGCTCTTGGTGGTTCTTTTGTTGCGATATCGATATCTTGCTGTTATTCCCAGGTTTCAAAGGTTGGATGTTTGAGTATAGAATAGGGGTATTGAGATGTTTGAGATGTTCATGGGATATCTGGGGGTGGAAATAATCGGGGTTTGCATTGCGGCTTTCAAGTTCAAGCCAGAGTCTGAGAGTTCTAGATGCCATGAATACCTACCTACCTAACTCCACTTCCTGTACAAACCCCAGATTATGTCGGGGTAATTAACCTTTAATCTTAGTTCTGTACGCCATAGGAAGGAGCAATTAAAGTAACACGTGAACACCATGATCCATGGTTAAGGTATCTGATCCTTGGTGTAATATTCGGACCTTTAGAGCCGCGCGCGGGCGCATCATTTCAGGGGCACGCGGCGGCGCTTCGGACGTTGCACCAGAGGGGTCTGTCTGGGAAGGTCGGGCGGATATCTATGTAGGTGATGTTTGCTTTGCGGGGATTGTTGTTGTTGTTGATTGATTGATTGATCAATTGAATAATCGATGTCTGGTGCGGGGGAATAATCATGGAAGGAGGATGTCTTTCTTGTATCTACAGTCTGCAGACTGCCCCCCTATTACTATTCTGACCAATCAGCAAGGGCGGTGCTGCGGCCGCGGGAGGTATCTACATGGAGAATAAGAATACGAATAATCATAATAATAACAGGAGGAATAAAGCATGAATGTAATCAAATGTACTTACTCACGGACGCGGATGTGGGGGTTGTAGATGGTGGGCGATCATCACGGGCGGCTGTGCGCAATTGGAGGGGTGATGGTCCTGCATCGAACAGCCGCGTAACAATTCGAATGCTGTAATAATGATACGAATAATAACTCCGTAATCCGTATCTTATGTACGCAGGAAGAATGTTTATGTACCTACATGCATATCCCGTCGTCACCTCCCGAGACATCAGACGTACCCAGGTGAATGTACCAGCCACAGGGCACATGACTCGCGCAGTGTTTTGGTGATGTAGTGATGATTTGGTATGTTTGGTATGTACGCGGGTTGGAGGCAGAAACATGAAGACTGAAAATCTCACTCCCCAGAGTTGCAGGTTACAACGTTGTAGTATCTGCATTCGTAGGTTACATTGTATGTTGTATGTTGTATGGGCGAAGGATTCAAGATGTACGTGATATCGGACTGTAGAAGCGGTGGTCTGTGGCCCTTCCCTTGCTGCAGGGCTCCTGTACCTGTGCACCGAGGCTCTGAGTGAAGCGAGCGACCAAAACGGAAATTAAGGACCTCCCTGCATCGCTTCGCCTTTTCTACTTCTCACCTCCTGCGATCCCTCCCACCATGATGATAATCATTCTTCTTCTTCGCCGCTTCGTCCCGTGTTGTCTCGAATGCAGGATCTACATTCGACGTCTGTCTTACCTAACCAGTCTTAGCACGCCCGGCCGCGTAGACCCTTTCCAGGATGAGCTAGGTCTCTCTCGGGTCTAAGTACCTTAGGTCTTCTACGGTGCTGGTCTCTCGTCTCCTCCAACCACCCCTGCCACCAGTTCTTTTCCTGCTCTTCTTGCTTGTCCAACCTCCAATTCCCCCATGACGTTCATCTCCGAGTCATGCCCGTCCGCGTGCCCTTCTGCCACTTGATTGTAACGCACGGTGATGGCCCTGCTAATGCACTAGCGACCAGAATCCGGCGATTAACGACCCCTCGATCCCTGGACGCATCACCCCACTGAGATCCCGTCTCGGCAGAGGGCAATCGGGCCTCCTGGCCTCCCGCCGGCGATTTCCATTTCTGCCCTAATTTCGATAGTCGGCCATGTCGGCCTTCCAAATTCCCAATAGCCTTGTATCCCATCCCGAGCTGAGTTGAGGGCGGCTGGGCCTCGACGGGTGAAGTCCTCGTCAGCAGTCAGCTCGAGAGATGGCTGTGCCGTGTCACTCTTTCTCTGTAGCCAAAGTCAGGACACTGCGAGATTGCGAATGCCGAGTGGCATCGAGTAATTCGGGTCTGGGGGTCCAAGACAAGAGCAATGCTGGCTCTCCATCCGAGTCCCTACATGTGACTACGCCCCCCCTCGTGCCCTGGAACGTCACCACCTGAGTCGGCCGCCCTCCCTCATGAGCCGCAAGTTTCTTGACTTCCTAGACAAGGTCAGGCTAGGTGAGGCACAAGCGAAAGATGAAGGGGCTGCTTCTTCTTTGGCGTCCAGCCAACGGGAAACGAACTTACCGATACGCCCCGCGTCTAGGACGCCTCCAAACCCAGCCCGCTATGTTCCCCCCTCCCCCACCCCCCGGCCACTTGGTCTGGTACCTGCGTCTGGCATCTTTCTGTTTTGGTACCTGGCTAGACATGGCCTGCTGCTCAGAGGTAAAGTATGTTCCACCAAGCCACATCCCGGAACTTTCTGGTAGCGACCGGGCTGGTTGCGATATCTCGCGGTGATACGTCGGCGCTCCTCCTGTATACTACACGGCTGGACAGTGGGCACTTTGTGGCACATGGCTGGGTTAGCATGCACCGAGCTTGGATATCGAAGATGAGAATCTTCGAGACCCAGCTTCTCGAATGGACCCTTGCATGCTTCGGGTTTACCCAGCCAGCGGAATGTTACAACCCTTCGAATCTCAAGTGGTTGGGAAGGGTCCTGGAAGGGCATATATACCCATCTCCTCGAGGGACGAAGGATGAGTATGATACCAACTTCAACGACAAACCTTCACCATGACGACCCTTGAACAAGCCCTCTCGCAACAGAAGACGGCGAACGTTCTTCTTCGCCCAAGCGTCGCACCTGCTACCGCGAGCAGTGGTGGCTCGCTGACCTTCAGCTTGTGCAATCAGACTTCCTCGAACAATGTCTATGCCTATGTTACTGGGATTGCAACCAACAACAACTATGCCAACTATCTCCTGAAATCTGACGGTGTCACACCTTGTGCGTACCCTGAGCAAAACCAACCGCCCTTGCGACTTCGATGAGGCCTTTCGAGGCGGGAAGACCTGGCGCTGACTCTCTATCAGACTATCCCAACAATCCAACCTCCACCGGAACTGCACTCTCAGAAAACTGCGCTATCCCCCTCGGAAAAGTGGGCTCAACCACCGACATCACTGTCCCATTTACCGATGGAGGCAGAGTCTGGTTCAGTATTGGCGACACCCTGACTTTTCTGCTAAACCCTGGGGAATCTGGGGCCGAATTGGTCGAACCATCTGTTACCAACACCTCTGATCCCAACTACAACCTGACCTGGGACTTTTGCGAATTCAGTCTTGGCACCGCGGGACTCTATGTCAACATCACATACGTTGACTTTGTCTGTATCCCCATCGCTCTGACCCTGACGAACACGAGCGGAACGGTCACCCACGTTAGCGGTCTCCCTTCAGACGGGCTTGAAACGATCTGTAACGAACTCATCGCTCAAAACAACAAGGACAGCGCTGGCTGGGACAAACTTATTGTCAAGAAGAGTGATGGATCGACCCTCCGCGTTTTGAACCCAACGGGTGGTATCGATTTCGACTCGACACTCTTCAAAGACTACTGGACCGACTACGTCAACCAGGCCTGGAACAAATACGTCAGCGCGTCGCTGGAGATTGATACTCAAAGCTCATGGGGCGTCGTCGATGGGAATACCTCCAATGACCGCAATTCGATTACTTTCAGTGGGGTGGGAAGTTTCTCGAAGCCGTCCGCAGCTGATATATTCAGCCAGAGCACGGGCGCCTTCGCTCCGCAGGCATCCAATACTGATGAACTGCTGAACATTGGAGCAAGACTATCTACAGCAATCAACCGCTCAACGTTATTGACCGACCCTGATCAGCCCGATGCTGAGACCGTTTCATCGTACTACCAGAACAGCGTCACGAACCATTTCGCGAGGATTGTTCATGCGGCGAACTTGGACGGCAAAGGATACTGTTTCCCCTATGATGATGTCGGAGGTGCGAATGAAGAGGACCAGAGTGGCCGATTAACCGACCCGTCGCCAAGCAACTTGTTGATCACTGTCGGGGGCGGGAACGCGAGTTCGAAATTGAAGAGGGGACTCGTGGAGGCTGAGAAGCCGAAGATGAAGAGGTCTCTTGCCTGGAACGAGGACGTAAAGGAGCCACTTCCTCAGGCGGCTGACTACCGGGATCTGGAGAAGGCTCAGGTGGCCGATTACCGAGATCTGGAGAAGGGTGAACATCCGAAGTTGATGAATGAGCTGGCGAGAGCCAATGAAGCACCCAAGGCCATCGTTCCCCCTATCCTGAAGCGGGCTCTCGGAAGATACTGGACAGTAAGTTTTACACAACCCATTTGTTTCTGAGCAATGGCTAATATGAAATAGCAATTCCGCTCCTCTTCATTGTACGAGCGTCTCGGCCCAATCATCGAACTCATCAACCAATTTCTCATCTCATTCCTTTCCCTATCGCTGCGAGCTGTCCTTTCACGCCTCGCTATTATTCTCTTTGTCCTCATCTTTTACTTTCTCGGTATGGAGCCCCGCGGGGCCGACATTGCCTCTCAACGACGCATCCTGGAGGCAGCTGGTCTGCTCAATAACGGCACCATCACACATGGGATGTGATTGGCACGAACTACGAATAAAATGAACAGCGAATGAGCGTGGCGTTATGTTTTTCCTTATACCAAGATATCCAGAAGGCGTTTTGTTTGTGTGCTCAGATGGCACCTCGGACCTCAGAATGATTGTCGGTTTTTGGAGCGGATTGTACTGTACTTGCGGGTTTCTGATTCGAAGGCCTGTTTTAGTAGAAGTTTTTAATTCCTAGGTCAATTAATTTGGATTTTTCATGCACGCCCTGTTGATACTCCAGATCCAATGATTCCTTTACAAGAAGCATGATTAAGAGAGACCTGGAGTCGGGGACCACCTTTCTGGTCCTTGGGGATGTGCATTTTCGGCCATTCATTGAGCAAAGATAACGCCCGATCAATACAACATCACAGAAACTCTATCCGCCATTATGACATATACCTACCCTGTTCCTCAGAAGCCCTTTACAATTCGCAAGCCTTAGTCTGCGAATAAGGAAAGTTGGGTTTGAAAAGTGGTGGGTTCAGGTATTGGCGTAGGTAAGTTTTGGTGGAGATGCGGAATTTGGTTTCTCCGGAGGTAGTACCGTTGACTAAGGGAGATTAGATTAGATAACGAAAATAGGTAAACAAGGGACGAAAGCAAAGCAGAGAAACATGAAAAAGTCGCGGGTCGAAATAAGAGGAATGCGATCGCTCCTCAGGGCTTACGGTAGGCTCTTCCTGTCCCTATAACTCGAGGTCGTTCAGCGTGACTGGTTATCCAAAGTCCTGAGCCGAAGGACCGTACAGTAGTACTGTAGGTCGCCGATCACTCAAGGTACTGTGGATAGCTCCGGGAAGCGTGAATAACTTCTCCTCTTGAACATGGCCCACCCTGACCCGAATACCCATACCGCGAGTCCCAGCGGGCTACTATGGATCGCCATGGGTATGCCCGTAGTCACGGAGATACAATATACCTTGACGGCGGGGCTACACTACGCTCAGAGTAGATACTTAAAGCTCCCCGCCATGCTGCATGTTACGCGTTCTGCGGTTCCCGTCAATCCGAGTTGCAATCTCTGCTGCAGTAGGTAGTTGATCTGCGCGAGAATCTTATCTGTGCCTGATCTTCAATCTCCCGTTCACATCTCTCAATTGCACTCTTTTCTCAAGGGGAAGCTCCAGGAAAGATGCGCTTTTCGCACGTCGCTGTTGCTCTCCTCCCTGCCGCTGGCCTGGGGGCCGCCGCCGTTGAGCTTCTCACAGACATCAATCAGATTTCAAGGAATTGGGGTCAGATCTCGCCCTACGCCGATAACGCCGACGACTATTTCGGCGTCGAGTATGTTGGGCTTCCCGAAGGCTGTCAGATCGTGAGTCTTCGTCGCCGTTGGGAACTGGTGCCATGGGCTGACCGCAGCAGGAATCCGCGAGCATCCTTCAGCGCCACGCACAGCGTTTCCAAGGTTCTGGAGCAGATGACGGGGGCAACGACTTCAACTTTGCGCAGAAGGTATCGAACTTCACGAGCTCGAATGCGAATGCCTCCTTTACGGGCCCGCTGGCCTTCCTGAACAACTACCGGTACAACTTGAACGCCAATGGACTACTCACGGGGCTGGGCGCGGTAACCGAGTTCAACTCGGGGGTGATGTTCTGGAATCGCTACGGTAGAATCCTTTACAACGCTACTGTCGCGCAACTTGCGTACAATGCCAGCTTCCCGAACGGCACGGCGAGGGAGCCGGTCGTGCTGAGGACCACAAGCCAGTCGAGAATCCAGAATAGTCAGATCAACTGGGCGCTTGGATTCTTTGGGACCAGCTTCCAGGCCACTCCGGATCCAACCCTCGAGAACGCTACTGAGCCATTCAAGGTGGTTATCATACCTGAGGGGGGATCTGAGAACAACACCCTGGCTTCGTATGATAGCTGCTTTAATGATTACGATCCGGTGGAGGGCTATCTTGGAGATCTTGATCTCTTCACATATATCCCGAAGTATTTGGGTGGGGCAACTAGGAGATTGCAGAAGTATGTCCCCTCGGGGTTTCAGTTGAACGTCAATGATACATATGCCATGCAGAGCATCTGTGCGTATGAATATACATTCATGGGAATGTCTGACTTCTGTACCCTGTTTACCGCAGAGGAGTGGGCGGGCTTCGAGAACTCTTTGGATATAGAATGTGAGTATTGCCTTGAATGGCCGGGATGCTTCCCACTGGCTTTTCCGTCAGTCACTTTGGATAGAACAAAACTAACACTTTAGTTCAGATTACTACGATTATTCATTTGGCAACCCAACTGGGCGGGCTGAAGGAATTGGCTACGTTCAGGAACTGATCGCCCGGCTAACTAACACATACATCACCTCCTCCAACTCCTCCGTAAACTCTACCTTGGACGATAATGCTACCACCTTCCCCCTCGGCCAGAAATTCTACGCAGATTTTAGTCACGATGACATTATCATCTCCGTCCTGACTGCACTCTCCCTGGATTACATCCACGATCCCCCATCTCTGACCCAGTACCCTCCGAATCCGAACCGAAAGTTCATCCTGAGCCATCTAACCCCCTTCGGCGCACGACTGGTGACGGAGACGATCGGCTGTGCAGTGCCTGACCCTCACCCCGTGAAGGACTTCCGCGTCCAATACACGCCGGAGCAATACGGCTATGACGCCTCGAACGCGACGCACAAGTTCATCCGGATGCGCCTGAACAACGGTATCTTACCTCTAAACACCATCCGCGGCGGCCACTGCGGGAACGCCACGACTGGACGCATCGATGGCATGTGCGCCATGAACGATTTCTTGCAGAGTCAGGCGAATAGCTATGCCTTGAGTAACTACCAATATGCGTGCTTCGGGAACTACACCATCACGAACGCGACGAGCGGGAAGGACTATGATGGGACGATCTTCCCATCCGCAGCTAGAAAGCCGTGAAAATCGAAAAAAAAAAAGTAGTTCTAGACGTAATCAGAAACCAAAATTCTGTTTTCGATATAAGATCCAATTTGCATCTTCCTGTGACATCGAGCGCCGTTGATGAGTTATAGATCCTGTTGAGACGGAAGTGGAGTTCCAATATTAGGCACGTGACCGGAAACATGCGTAAAGTGGTTTTGGACGCGAGCGCGTTACACGGAAAGGTCGCGTTTTTGCAGACGACCCTGAGCGAGCGAGTGAGCATCACTCGACGCCCACGCTTTCGGTCCCAACCACCGCGAATGCAAACATCGGATCCCGTTGTGATGGAGTAGGCCTGGACGGAAAGCTGCGTCTCGATGAAGTTTGCTCGTCTTATCGCTCGAGCTCGCAGTCATGGTATCTCTTGGGCAAGCCTCACTCCCTCGACCACTGCCAGCTGCTGCACCAAGACCTAGGCCACCAACTCCTCCTCGAGAATCCGAGAAGCACGAGACAGGACCCGGCTCCTTCAAACGAGTGCTCGCCGCCTCGACCATCACGCCTAACTCGTCTGCAGAGTCTCCAAATCCCTCGTCGAGAGCGTCGCGGAAGAGGGTCGAATGGGACGACCTGACGACATCGAGTCCGGCACCGTCGTCATCTTCCGGGCAACGGAAACCGATTAAGTCTATCTTGAAGCCGTACAATGGGGCGATTTTCCAGACCCTTGATCTAGGCACGGCGGCGAAGCTCTCTCCCCCGCATGCCTACGCAAACCTTGCCGCGATGCTCGAATCGATAGCCCAGCAGCTCGCGGGCAAGGACCGGAACTCGAGGATGGATGCATACACGACGCTGTCGGGGACGATAAAGGCGTATGACAATGTGCCGGATGTCCGGGCATTGAAGGAGAAGATGGGACTATTGCAACAGTTCATGATGCGAGATCTGGCTGCGAGAACCACAACGGGCTCCACAGATACGGCGCTCATCGTTAATGATCTGGTTCTCCTGTCGAGCTTCCTTCACAAGCCTGCGATTGCTGAACTTCTTTCCAGCGACTTCAGTGCCTTCGTTGTCGATCATGCCATCAAGACTTTCGAGGACCCGGGAATGTCGAAAGACGTCGTCAAGCATCTGATGTTCGTCCTTGCGCAGCAGAGCTTCCCGGCCAAGATCATGAACGCCGAAAGATGTACACGGTTGATCACTGCGCTGCACGAAATCGAGAATTATGTGAAGGGGAAGAGCATCGTTATTGGACGAATCAACATATACAGGAACCTGGTGCGGAAATCGAGATCTCACATGCTAGCCAACCTCGTCTGGCTCGAAGACCTTTTCAGTGACATGCTCAGTAGCCTCAGAGACACAAGGGCAGCTGCCATTGACTTCGGCCTAGAGGCGGCTCTGGTACTCGGTACTGAATCTAGAGCTTCTCGTGCGGTTATGGATCTCTTCCAACGGGAACGAGAAGACGACAGATCGGTCCCGAAATTTGGCGAATATCTTGCACAGCGCTTGAAAGCGATGGTCCACAAGAAACAGGAAGGTGGAAGTTCGAGCGTACCCCAGATCTGGAGCGTTGTCATATTGTTCCTTCGCTGTCGACCTCGCCAGTTCGAGCAGTGGTCGTTTAGGGGGGATTGGCTCGTAGTCATCCAGGAATGCTTCAACTGTAGCGACCAGCAAACTAAACTCGAAGCCAACCTGGCGTGGAATCGATTGGTGTTTGCAATTCGACCGGACGAAAAGACACCCCCAACCATCATCACCATGCTGTGCAGACCCCTGCTCGAACAGCTCAAACGTAAGGGCAAATCTACCAGTAAATCACGGAGAGCTACCCTCGGCAGCCTGTGCGTTCTGCTCTATTACTCCCTCAGACCCAACCCCACCACAACCCACCTGGACCTATACTGGAATCATTACGTCCTTCAGATAGTCGGGAAGACTTTGATCCCTACGAACGCTTCTGGAGATTCGGAATTGGTCCGACAGGATCTGACTGACGCATGCCTTATATTGAGGGGCCTCTTCGATTCAACAACACCACGGCCCTGGAAAGAGACGCGTGCTATGGATTTCAGTACGACAGACATGAATATGCAGATGAGCGAGCTTCCAGCCCTAGATTCCAAGTGGCTCCGCAAGTCCTCTTCGGTTGTTTTTCCAGTGTTACAGCCTCTTCTACAAGCCCTCTATTGGGATCTTGGTAAAGAGGGAACGGCCATTACATCTTTATGGAACACGTATAATACGTCGATTGCCTCTCCCGCGGTCAAGGAAATTAAGGTGCCCAACGAGACCATGTCTTGTGTGGCATGCACTTTCAATCTTCTGTACCGCATCTGGCATACTGGACCAACGAATCTACAATGTCTCCCGGGCCCCAGTGGCTCACGGTCCGAGAATTTTTTGGAAAGTTTTGCTACTATCATACTGTCGATGGTTGATAAACTTGGGCCACTTCCTTTCACCGAGAAGCTCTTGTCCATCGGCAGTCAAGATACCTTCGTGGTCATCGCAACCCCATCGCACCGACCTAGAAATACCGTCGGCGAGATCCAGTGCCCACTGCATCATCTATTTGTCTTGCTGACAAGTGTGTGCCCGGATCTGGAATACGATGTGAAGTTCGAGCACATGGTACGACGAATCCTCACCCCCTTTTTTAACGCTCGACCTTCCAGCAAAGCCAAGATGGACTTCATCCAGGAGCTCTTACGATTGCTTCCTGCTGAGAATACCGAACCATGCAAGATGATTTGGCAAATCTTGGCCGAATTTGCAACAACGCCGGCAGATCCAGAGCCAAGAGATGGGAGAGGAAGTGGCAGCAATAACAGCTATGATCAGCCATTGGGCGGTGTTTATTCCAACGCCTTGAAGATACTCGAGCTAGGCATTGATATCTCTCCGCGTGATCCTATGCCGGGCTGGAAGGTTCTCTTTGAGTCATTGGTGACCTCAGCTACCGCCGATGCTGGTGATGGGGGCAGAGCTATCGCAGTGATTGAGCCTCTAGCTCGCGCTTTCTCCCGGAAACTCCCCAAAGGCGACGAACCTTCGAATTATGGACTTGCTTACTTCCGCATCATTGTTTTCAAGGCGAATTACCCCAAAGATCGTCAGGCTCTTGATGCGGCACGGAGACGGTTATGGGGAGCCGCACCTGGTGGCTCAAAGCAATCTTCTTATGACCCTTATGCTCACCTATACGAGTATATGCAAAAATGTCTGGAAAAAGCATACACGTCGTATAGCAGGGATCACGCTATAGAATATTCAGAGATGCTTTCGGCCACCACAGCCCTCCTCAATCGCTGCCCGGATGCGATTCGTTACGATGTTTATGTGAAGCTTCAAATTGGCATTAGCCGCTGGATCCTCGATGAGGATTCAAAACTCAGTGGTGGCACTGCTTATTCACAAGCGGTGCGTTACCCGTATTCTTGATTAGGCATCTTAAACTGACGATAGTAGTTAACATCGCTCTGGGCCAAGGTCTGCTCTCAGCTTCCACTAATGATCCACCAACACAGCCATTCTAAGATTCTTGCCGATTTGGAGCCGCTTCTCTGCTCTGGTTTAGAAACTAGACATCGAGCGATTGTCAATACAACGATCCGACTCTGGAATTCAACCTTCGGTGACTGCGAGGAGAAATTTGAATACCCTCCGAGGATCAAAGAGGCGCTGCTCAGACTCCGCCCAGTTGCAGAGCTGCAACTTCCATTCTTCCCAGATAGCCTCGAGAGCGAAGGCTCTGCTGAACATCGCCAACCGCTCAGCTTTGCGGATTCTCAAGATGACTCGAGCAATTTCTTCGGGTCAAGTAGTATAGATTCTATGTTGCGAAGACAGCCAATGCCTCGTCTAAATCCGCCTAGATCTCGAAGATCGACCCCACAGGTTCTTATCGAGATAGGTCAATCATTCCAGGTAGCAGGCAAACGATCCCGGGAGGCAACCCCGGAGCCGGGCAAGACGAACCCAAGGAAAAGGATCTCGACACAGAAGTTACGACACGATGATTCTCAGGTTCAGTTTGAAGCCATTGAATCTTCTCCTATTGCAGATACGATTGTCGATTCTCAACTCTTGACCGACAGGCAGAAGGAAGTGAAGGAACGACAGAAAGCTGAAGCCGCGATGTTTCCTGATCTTCGCTCAACCCCACGTACAAAAGGAGGCCCCTCCAGTGTGGAATTGGCATTTCGTCGTTCAGCTTCCAAAGCACGTTCGGTGGCTTCGCCAGATATTGAACGGCAAACTACACCTACCCTCCTTCCCCAGGGGGAAGAAGATGATTATGTCAATTCATCACCAACGCCGACACGAGCATTACCCCAGGCTGAAATTTCAGAGCTGCCCTCGTCACCTCCTGAAGCTATTGAAAGAGAACCAGTCGTGAAGTACGAAGATGAGATGGACTTTCCGTCCTCACCCCCTGAAATTATCGAGGACCAAGGCAATGATAATACAACGTCTCTCGATCCGTCGGCCCAGATTGACCCTGATGCCCCTGAGAACAATCCTACACCTTCTGTACTTGATGGCAACCAGGATGAGCAAGTCGAAGTCGAAAACTTGGGACTTCCTGTATCAGCGGCGACATCCAACGCCGAGGATAACGCGCTCCCCACCTCTAATGTACGGCCTGGTCAATCGAGCCCAGGAGCTGGGCCAAGTCAAGCCAAGGCATATGCCATGGAAGGTCCCAGTACTCCTACACACGAGCACAGCGACGTACCAGAAGGCCAGCAAACGTCCAGAAGTCCAGTCTTTCATGATGCGCTCTCAAGCCCTGTATCGTCTGATAGACCTACCGCCAACGAAGAAATATTCCAAGATGCGATTTCATCGCCTCGTCTTAACCTAGGCAAAGCAGAACCAAAGCAGGATTCGCCATCCCTCAGCGACTTCGATGAGTCTAGCATGCTCAGATTAGTGAAGGAATTTGATGAGGGCTCTGGTCGACCGAGGAGAAGTGTTAGATTTTCGGTGGGTAAAGAAAACCAGCCTGGAAAACAGCCAGTTTCAGCGGATTCTCCTTGCCCCGCTACGACTGCAAATGTGTCGTTTGATACTTCTGCAGGTGACGTGCCCGAAGTATCAATAACAGAGCTTGACGGTACTGATAAAGCCCATAAGGGGCTTACTCGCTCCTCTGGTAAAGCATCCGTGTCATCATCTATACCGTCTCTAATCCCCGAAACTCCTGGTGTAAAAGCCACCGCAATGGTACAGACTGTAGATGAGGAGGCTATTGATCCTGATGATACTATCGTCGTGGAAGTACCGGAAAATTACCAGGTATATAAAGCGCCGAGACGCAGACGGAACAAGGCGGCTTTCACTCGAGTACGTGACTGGTCGGCTAGCCCTAAGAAGAGGAAGCATGAGGAAGCCGCTGAAGAGCAGCACGAGGTTCCCGATAGTCAGGAAGTCAAGGCTGATGGTAAGACACCTGATGTATTTAGATTTCCATATGCTAATTTAGTACCAGAAACATCGCCAAAGAAAAGACCATCAGCCAAGAAACGAAGGAGGCGCTCCAAACGTGGTTCCCAGGTGTCGTCACAGACTACAGATCCTGAGCCTGAGGCTACACAGAGTTTCTCATCCATGGAACTCGATGTTTCGACACAGAACACGCAGGAGACTGATAGTATGACGGATGTAAGAGCATCGAGTGCGAAAGATGCAAGGGATGATGTCGGTGTTACCACGCCGCATTCAGTTGGCAAAAGAGAATCCCGTGGAGGGAAGACAGGAGGCGAGGCAGCTGGGGAGGCAAGCGTGGATACTAGCAGCAAGGAGGCCTCCGGTGTTGAAATTGCAGCTGAGACGACTGTTGACGACAGCAACATATTGGATAGTACACATGAGGAGGGTGGAGTCAGTATTGTGGAGGTTAACACGAGGTCGTCTGGTGAAGAACCTCAGACGGAAGAAGTGCCAACCGCACAGAGCATACGAGACAAGCTCCAGAGCCTTATCAGCGATCTTGACACCGCATCGCTTACGCGGGAAGAGGTGAACGCATTTGAAGATCTGTTTATGGATGCCAAGGAAAAACTATACGGCGCTGCAAGGAGAGGGAGAGCCAGGAAATAATGATTTTGCATTGCGTCGGAGTATGATTATCTTCTTGTATTTGATCGGGTCTGTCTGGAATGGTGTATAAGGTAACAACTAGGACATGCATTGGCGGAGTTTTATGAGATCAGAACTAGTGTACCTGAGATACCACAAATTGTATTTTGTTACATGTTGTTTGGAGAAGTCCAGTTCTATACAATGCCTCCTGTCTGGCAATGCCTGTGATCTCTCTCTATCGCCTCGGCGGCTACAATCGAACGGATGAAAGTTAGTCCGCCCTCCGCGTTTCAGATCAGACATCCCACCTCGACCCCACGTCTTCCTCTTCCTCTTCCTCTTCCTCTTCCTCTTCTCTCCTCTCCTCTGTCTCCCATCATCATCTCCCGATTTTCTCTAACTCTTAATTCTTTGCATTCTTGTTCGTTCATACCCATCTTCACTCTCTCTCACCCCAACCCCCAGATCCCAAACATGGTGGACCGCCCAAAGAAGCCCTCGGCTCTGAACCCCATCTCGCCCGGCCTGGCGCCTCAAGCACAAGTCAACATCACGCACTCGAACTCGCGCGTCTCTGCCGTGCTGCCCACCGGCGAATCGATCGAGGTCCTCCTCTACGGGGCCACCATCATAAGCTGGAAGGACGCGGCGGGGCAAGAGAAGCTCTTCCTCAGCAGCAAGGCGCAGCTGGACGGCACGAAAGCCGTGCGCGGCGGCATCCCGCTGGTCTTCCCGGTGTTCGGGACGGCGCCAGACCATGCGGCGACGGCGGCGCTGCCGCAGCATGGCTTCGCGCGCATCTCGCGGTGGGAGTTCCTGGGGCGCAGCACGAGCGAGAGCGCGCGGACGACGGATGACGGGGATAGTAGCGTGAAGTTGGATTTCGGGCTCAGCCCGAGTAATCTGGATGAGGAGAGTCGTAAGAAGTGGCCGTATGCGTTTGGTCTGATCTATAGTGTTACGCTGGGGAGGGAGGGCTTGACGACGAGTATGGTGGTGAGGAATGAGGGGGAGAGCGCGTGGGAGTTCCAGGTGCTGATGCATAGCTATTTGAGGGTTGATGTGAGTGCCTCTCTCTCTCTCTATCTTCCTCGGCTTTTTATAATTGATACTGACAAAGGCTTTCTATCGTAGGACATCTCCCAAGTCTCCATCTCGGGCCTCGAATCCTCCTCCTACGTCGACAAGCTCACCACGCCCATCTCCACCACCACGTCTCCCTCCAGCGCCCTAACCATCGGCTCCAAAACAGACCGCGTATACACACCCGCGGGCGGCCCCAGCGCCCCCGTCGTCGTCACCGAAGGCGGCGCGAAGAAATTCAGCCTCGTCCGAGATAACCTCAACGAAGTCGTGGTCTGGAACCCTTGGACCGACGCCGTCAGCATGTCGGACTTCGCGCCCGCTGACGGGTACAAGAACATGATCTGTGTCGAAGCGGGCGCGGTCAAAGGATGGCAGAAACTAGAGGCGGGTGAGACGTGGGAGGGCGGACAGATCATCTCGCTCTGAAGGAGGGGTGGAGAGGAAGGACTTGGGCGCTTTGCTTGGGAGGGAAGGAAGGAAATTTAATCATGAGTGAAATGTAGGCAACACGCTGGTATGGACAATGAGGCATGAGAGATTATGCATGATGAGATGTTGATGAGGACCGCGATACTAGCTAGTTATCTCAGCTAGTTATCACGGGTACAGAGCGTATATACCTAGTTCTGCTTTCTACTTATACAGCATGGCTAGTGAAGCGCGAATGAATATATATGAACGAAAGAAATGAAAGCCCATCTGTGCTTCTCTCTCATACACATAAACGAACACACCTCCACCTTTCACATACTTCTTCCCATCCCATCCCATCCCATCCTATCCCACACTTCCCCCTTCTATAAAAGAACCCAAGAATCCCTCCCCTTTAAGCGAGCGAACCCCCCTATTTCCGTTGCGCGGTTATGTATGGATGTTTCTTTTTAACAATAGATTTATGGATAGATGGATATGTAAACACGGCAAGTTTGTTATTTAAGAAAAGAAAGTGTCATATCATATAGGGGGCTTTGGGGTAGGTAGGTGTCTGGAGATAGGTGGATGTTGGATGGAATCATCCAAGTATCCCATCTATCCCCCCCCCCTTTTTTTTCCTCAATCAATCAATCTATCTAATCTATCATAATCCACAGTATACAAGTACCATACCGCAGCAATACAAACAAACAAACAAACCCCAAAAAAAATCTCACACCGTCCCGCCAGCCCCCCTCCTCTCACTCGCAACCGAAGACGGTGTTCTGAATACTGACGTTGAAGTACCATCATCATGTATCTGCACCTGATGCGAAACTGCCCCTTCCCCATCTGCATCAGCATCAGCATCAGCATTAGCAACAGCATCAGCAACTTCCTGACTCTTCTTCCTACCAGCCCTCCTCGCACGAATGCGCATCCGGGCCCACGGCAAGAAATTGAAATACCCGCCACATGCAAAGACGCCGCACCAGAGGATGAATTCCGTACTGTAGATTACGAGGCCTAGAATATCGAGTTTGGGTTGGAAGACTGTGTTTCTTTTAATTTTCTTTTGGTCTTTTTATTGGGGGCTTTTTTGGGGGGGGGGGGGGAGGAAAAGAGGGGGTGCAAAACGTACAAAGTGATAAAAGAGAGAACACATCCCCCGCAGCATCAATCCCAACGAATAAAAACGAGATACCGCGGACTGTCCGATGCGTATATATATCCCAATAATGGCGTAATACGCCCGCGGACAGCAGGACCGTGGAGAGGATCCCGATCAGGGTTGTTGGCCAGTGTAAGGAGCGGTGGGTGGCTTGCTAAGGATGCGTGGGGATTTTAGATTGGGAGGGGTAATGAAAAGGGGAGG